GTTTTTAAGTGACAATAAATCACTCAATGATAGTGATATTGAGACAACTTGTAAACAAGGGCAGGTACTATTAGGTTAATTAGGCGAATTATGTTTATAGCATGTGTTAAGCATGTGCTCTTTGAGGTCTGACTTTAATTCATTATAATCTCTTCAATAGAATAGCTCCTTATATGGTTAAGATTACATTGATAATGAATGAGAGTGAGTGTGTCTGTGTGCATGCAACAGTTTTTTGAAGTATTATAGTGTACATGTACTCACTGTACTGGTAGAGAATGTTATGAGATAGTGATGAGGTTAATTGTATTGTAGTGATGGCTTCTGTTACTAAATTGTGTCTATCTTTTCCTTTTCTTCTCGTCTTCCTTCACTATACACTACCCTCCCTCCTCCTCTATCTTTATCTTTATTTCTTTTTGTGTAGTTGAGGAATCCTTTCATAAACAGGTTAGCTATCAAGTTCATATAAATACAATATGCTATGCCTTCTTAATTTTTTATTCTGCATGGACTATAGTGTCTTTTTTAATACTAAAAACAATCATTTTTGTTTTTTGGAAAGTGACAATGCTATTAATACTAATGCCTTTACTAGGTTGAAGAGTTGAAGTCATTTTATAAGAAGGAGGTTCATGAGTTACAGTCAAGACATGATAAGGAGCTAATGGAGATGCATTCAAGTTACCAGTCATCAATTGAAAGTAAATACATTAACCATCCTTTATCCTGTACTTGATAATTCCCTTATTATTGTTATTATTATTATAGAGTTAAGACAAGAGATTTCTCACGAAAGGAATTAATAGAGAAATGCTAGTCATTAGGTTATGTATATTGTTTTATTGTCTTTTTATAAATTACTCTCTCTTTGATATAAAACTGCACATTATTATTATAGCTATATAGTCTTGTATATTGTATAATAAAATATTAAAATAGTTGCAGAACTGTAAGGGTGGGGCTCAGGTGGAAGGGCGGGGCTCAGTTTAGAGAGGGCGTATTCTTTCTCTGTTTCTAATTCTCCTTTCTGCCTTTTATTCTCTTCACCTGGGTACAAATGTCGAGCACAACAGAAACAATCCTTGACAAAGAACTTGGTGAGTACTATATATTGTTACACTTTGCATGTAAGGTTACATGTACATGTTTAGGCATCAATGATTTTCGTTTGGTTTGGGAAAAGGCAAGCGTTCTTTCCAGACACTGGGACTCCACTGGCATCATGCTTGGTCTCAGCCCTAACAAACTGGATGAGATTGAAGCAGGGGGTAGATCACCAAAAACATGTCTCAGAAAGGTTTTTGAATGCTGGTTAAGAAAAGAATATGATCAAAGTAGTGGTGTTCCTACATTACGAATGCTCTGCAATTGCATTAGAAGTGAGAGTGGTGGAGCAGATCCTGCCTTAGCTGATGAAATAGTAAACAAATATTCTAAAAGCAGTGAGCAGCAACCTTTGTCACCAGTAGAGACTAACTCATTTAGAGGTATATATCAATAATTGTAATTCAGTTTTAAGATTTATTATTTTATTTATATAGAGGTTACTCCAAATACAGAATTACAGACACCTCTTACTTCACCTGATACTAAAGCTACATATGCTAGTGGAAAATCAAAAGAGTTTCCTGTTAATGACATATTGAAGCAGATTGATGAGTTACAACTGGTACATAATTCGAACATGTATAAAACCAGAGAAGCATTTTGCTCTCTCAAAAGGAGTACTCTTCCTAAAGTAATTGATTTCATTCAGTGCCACATCATTCATCTACTAAGCCCATATTTTCGCAAAGAACAGTTCATTGATAAATTACGAGAAGAGTATGACAGTATTAAATCAATGAATCAGTTATTCAAAGTACTAGAGAAACGTGTCTCCTGGTTTAATTTTGAATTAATTGTCCTATTGGTCCAAGTTTTTATACCAGATAGAGAAGTGCAGCGAATTTGGTCAACTTATTCTGATTTGCTAAAAGATTATTTTAAAAATAACAATGATCGAGCAATCAAAGTTGTAAATGGGATTGAGTTTGGCATATTAGATGCTCCTGGTACTGAAGTTATGATAGCAAAAGTTGCTAATGATGATTACACTTTGAATGATTTATATTTCTTTCATAAAGCAATTGCTGAGGCACTTGCAGTTTCAGAATACAAATTCTATTTTTGTCAAATCGATGATGGTTGCATGGAGTTAAAATACTCTATCTCTAATTTCTTATATTTAATTCTTTTTCCACTGACCAATCAACAGTGTCATTCATTGGCTGAGATTGGTATTATTAAATTGAGCTGTAATGAATATGTACATGAAATGGAGCAGGTAATATAAGAAATATACCATAAATGCATTCACTATTACTTTAATAGTTACCAGAAAATGAATTAAGGAAGCTCTCTCACTCTACTATTGGTAATTGAACATACAATAATCTACTGTATTATTTTTATGCTGTGTTCAGATATTAATGATCCTTTGTGGTATGAGAATACCAGCACTCCACTCATTGAAGCATGTTGGAGAGGATTAAAAGATGAAGTACAATGGTTAATGGATGAATCTGGCTCTCAAGAAAGAGGTACAAATGGATGGAATCCACTATTAGCTGCTTCATATGGTGGCCACATTGATGTCCTCTATCTCCTCATTGATGTTTATCATTGCAATCCTTCACAAAGTGATGATGATGGCGTTATTAGTTTACACATGGCCTCGTATAAAGGTCATCTCAATATTGCACAGTATCTAGTTAATGAATGTCACGTTGATCCAGACATAGCAGATAGCTCTTGTAACACGGGATTGCTTTACTCAGCACTGGGTGGTCACGTTGACCTCGTGATTATGTTTTTAAAGAAGAAGTGTAATGTGTCTCAGGTGAATAGAGAAGGATCCACTTTATCATTATTAGCATGTAAGAGTGGACAGGTAGCATTAGTTCATCAGCTTAAGCAGTTTGGTATTTTCTCAGAAGATGATGTAGATTTTAACGGATGTGGAATAGTACATTATTGTGCTATGAGTGATAGTGTAGAGCTTCTAGAGTATCTTTATAATAATGTTGTTTTGGATATAAGAGGAAAAGATTGTTTTGATACAACACCACTTCATATAGCATGCCAATATGCTTCATCGGGTTTCATTATGAAAGCAGCTGATATTTTAGGATATAAAGTATTACTAGAAGCTGATTATAGTGGTTGCTCTTCTCTTCATTACTTATGCAGTGGATTGGTTGATAAATACTGCATTACAGAAGTGTATAATAAGCTCACTGCACCATGTGATATACCTTTACTGATGCAATTTTCTACACTTGATTTTTTTGTCAAAAAAGAATGGCATAAATACATATCACTAAATATAAATGTTACTGAACAGCATAAAAGAGTGAGCCTTTTGTCTACACTCCTCAAGAAGACAAGCGTTATTGATAATTTTAATATAAATTCTATTACTGCTACTGGTCAATCAATGGTTCATTTAGCATGTACTAGTGGTAGTATATTATTAGTGAAGGTATTAGAGGAGTATGGTATTAATACAAGTTCATTAGATTATGAGGGTCGGTCTGCAGTACATTATGCTGCTTTATCAGGCTCACCTACTCTACTCAGTTATACTGTATCTGAGTATAGGTTGAATGCCAGTCAACCAGACTACAAAGGTGTAGTACCATTAGCATTAGCTTGTATGTCAGGTAGTATCAATGCAGTAGAATATATTATGAATACTACTGACACTGATATTAATATAACCTGTAATGAGGGTAAAACACCTTTTAATTATTCATGTTGGCATGGTAACCTTGAGCTGAGCCAATATCTATGTGAAATACAGGACAGTGGTATTCATTTAGATGACGATGGTTATAGCATTAAAGGTGGTAATATGAAGCTGGTCCAATACCTCATTGAGAATCATCACTTGCTTCTCACACCAGAGTCTTTAATAGAAGCTATTGATAGCACAAAGCTGCCATTAGTTAAACTATTAATAAATGAATACAAGCTAGACCCTCATGTAGAATATGAAGATGGTAAAAGTGCAGTTGAAGGTGTTACCAGTATTGATCTCTTTGAGTATTTAGTCAATGATTGCAGCTATGATTTGGGTGAAGAAGAGGAGAACAATTGGAATATATTCCACTTTGCTGCAGCTGCTGGTCACTATCCAATTATTAAACATATTATTGATAATTATCCACAATATACTAGTCTGTTGCATTTGACTGAAGATAATAATACAACAACACTTCATCTTGCCTGTTCTGGTGGTGTTGTACAACTAGTGACATTTCTAATTGATGAAATGAAATGTGATGAAAGTACTGAGGACATGAATGGCCTCAATTGTGTCACATGGGCCTGTACTTCTGGTAATCTTGATCTTTTAAAGTTATTAATAAAACAATATAAACATAATCCAAGAATATACAGCCTGGTATCGTCATTGTATGTTGCAGTGACGGAAGGACATGTTCATATACTAGAATGGCTCAGACAAGAGCATCATATCAATGTAGCCTCATTTAAAAATGGTGTATTACCTTTTACTGCTGCACGATACAACCGTTTGTATTGTTTAAAGCATTTATTGAACAATTATTCATTTGATATTAATGCCACTGATCCTAGAAATGATACTCAATCTACACTCCTTCACATAGCATGTCAAGAAGGACATGTTGCTACAGTTCTCTACCTCACTAGTCTTCCTCAGTGTGACGTATCAGCTAAAACTTCAAATGGATCAACAGTTCTTCATTTATCATGTAAAAGTCGTTCTCTTCCTATACTCAAACATCTAGTGGAGGAGCATCAGTTGGATCTCACTATTAAAGATTACAATGGAATGGCTCCAGTTCATGTAGCCTGTGAAGAAGGATCATTGAGTATAGTCAAGTACATTATAGATCATTCACCATTATCTCTTGATTTGACCGACTCTTTTGGACGTACTCCACTACTTATTGCAGCTTTCTCTAAAAACCTTCCCATCATTCGTTACCTCAACAG